ACCCATGACAATTCATGACTTCTGTGTCTTTGGGATAGACTATCCAAGGTATAATTAATGTAAGTCTATTCTGGGTTTACATAATGAACTAGTATGGACCTTTGGCTGGTTACCTCATGTAGGTAAAGTTACCTCGAACTCACGGCCCTTGCATCTCAGGTCACAAAAACTGCCTGTGGCCTGGTCCATAGTTAGTAGTTGTAGGTAGCTATTGTAGGCCAAATCGTGTCAACATCAACAACTATATCCTTGACAGAAGTCACGAATTGTAGGCCTGAATCAATGTTTTCGCGAACCATGGAGCCACAGTATAATACCATAACTTCATGCAAAAAACGAAAGCCAACCTTTGTGAAGAGAGCTACAGTAGTAGGATCAGGATAACCAGCGAACGATGAATGACGTAACGACGACGTCTGCATCGAGTTAAAATCTGACAGTCTTCGTGTTTACGTCATAATTGTGGTACATTTATATTTATACCTGTTTAAAAGGGGAGAAGGCCTAGCGGTTTTACAGTAACTTTGAAATAAACCAGCGTGTAATACACTGAGTCGAAGTTAAATAATATTGACCAACATGCCGAGATAAAAAAAAAAGAAACTGGCCTAGTAGTAGCCTCATTTAAGGCAAAGCGCATTCGTTTGTTACAGATTCACCGTCTGTACTGTATCAGCTAAATAGAACAATTTATTAAATCCAATATTTTGAATAGCTGACTTTGTAAATCACAATAAGTCATTGACATTCAATGGGAAATTTGAACGAGAAAATATTTTCATCCCTAATACCACAGCAATACATCGTTCCTATAGCATTCTGTCGCAGGCATAGACACTTGACTTGTAATCAATGTCCGAGTAAAGTGTCTGTAAATCAGTGAACATTTATTTTTTTCCGATTTGTGTCTCATTGGAATGTTTATCATCATTTATATTTTCTTTTTTTTAAAGTATTTTTGAGGTTTTCCCATATTTCACCACAGATGGTTTATCTTTTAAACAGAATAATTTAGACGAGTTCAATTTGTTTTGATTTTAAGTGAATATTAATCTTACTGATAGCGTCTCGCTTTTTTGGTTATGTAGAAAAATGCTCTTTTTCACATCAACAGACAGTCAACTCATCGTTATATTGAACCATGCCTCCATGATTGAACTTACGTACGACGACAGCAACGGATAAACTTTGATTCTGAGTCGATCTGAAGGGGATGGCTATCAAATCAAGGATTTACAATTACCGGCAACTTCAAAGCGCTAAATAACTAAAATTAAATAACTAATGAAAGCGAAAGGGATGTGATTATGTTGTTCTATATCCTATTTTCTCTATGCCCACTCCTCATTATCATTCCGTACTTGATCAACGGGTCATCTCACAGCAAAGCCCTCTTCACAACGAGCTCCAGCTGTAGGCGAGTGTAACTATTTTATGAATCAATCAGCCGGCTATCAATAGACATATGGGCCAAGGTTAAGTTAAGAAGAGGGACATTTATCGGTCATCTGCCGGTGAACATCCTTCTGCTAAGCCCTATTTATTACGATGGTTATATTCCAGTACGAACGCGCAAGTGTACAGTAAATATACATAGGCCACGGCGCCGATGAATTTGTAAATGTTCTTTTTATTGTATATAAATCTATAGAAAAAGAACTCCGATTTATGATCGTAAAATAGGATACAGTAACAACTTAGACCCCATAAAAAAAATTATTAGTTTATCACCCGCTCCGTCGTTTAATCATTCGTTATTCGAAGTGGCACAAACGAAGTCTTTCAAAATTTAAAGATGATAGTCGACCCACTAACAGTGATGTGTTAGTTTCGTGACCCATACAAAACTGCAATGTGTAGAACCATTGAGTTGTTCAATAGATCTGTGGTGAAACTATAAACAACATGGATCCGGGTCTCTTTTATAAATAAGATGATAACGTTGCAGAATCATAAAAAATAATAATATATGAACAAACCAAGTTTGATTATTTTGTCTGCTGATTGCTGAACCATGGAACTATTTATAGCCTTATTGATGTGTGAAAACACCCGGGATATTATACGGTACTGTATAAAGGCATATGAATATCATACCCTGGACACGGTTTTACCGTTATAATTCCTATTATTGAAATTTTCAAAGCTTGCATTATTGCGTATCACCCCACCTAACTTAACTGTGTATCGATATTGTACGGTGCCTCTCAAGCCGGTTACTTTTATGTTTTTATTTTTTTCCCAACAATTCTTTCAGATCAGACCTGCCATTTATGCGATCACGTTAATCCATTCACAAGAGGTGGTACACAAAATTGTGAACTATTTTGTTATATAAAATCATAGTGTATGGTAACTAATAATGTAACAATCATTGGCGGTTATAAGCATATTCTCTATTCAATACAAGCCATGGCCATTTAGCATACACCTTTTGATTTACTTAAATGTATACGCCTAAGCATAATGTCTTAATGGTAGGAATGTTTTATACTTTTCTCGTTATGTTTTATAATAGGTGTATATTTTATCAGGAATGCGTTTGCATGTTTGGTTTTTAATTATGTCCATGTCCAGTAACTTTTGTTAATTAAGTCGATCCTCTGTTTCGTTATATTAATTTGTTGTAAAGCGCATAGAAATTCATATATTTTTGTGGTACAAGATATGAATTATTATTAGGTCTATTACACTACTCAAACACAACAAATTTGTTTTAGTAGTTTTAAAGTAGGCCTATGCCTACATAGGCATATGCTGAATGTGAAAAGAATATAAGATCACCATAGGCTATTTCCGTTGGTTAATTTTGCATGGTTGTTGTGGGAATTTAGCCTGATGACTATAACAAATTTGTGTAGTACGTGTGTGTACGAAAGATGCCCTTGGTAGTGTAGCTTTCACATAAGAAAACCGAATTTAGGCTCCACTTGTGTGTCTGGATGCGGTATTGTCAGGAGTCCAGTCAGGCGGACAGAGAACAATCATGGTTTTAACCCCAGCTGTTAGGCGACATAATACGTACATGTGGTCGCCCCGCATGCTTCTTCTAGCAGGCAGCTGCTATACAAATACGAAAAACGGTGAATTTGTTTATTCTTCGTCATTTGCTGAAGTGTTTCTCATCCTTAACCATTAATTATTTTAAGGCCTATCACAGTGCGACACATTACATCATCTTCATCATTCCATATATCATATTATATCATCTTTCATACACATTAATATCAATCCTAAAAAAAACCATTTCCCAACTCATACATCTCCCGTGCTCACGAAGCGCGCCGTTTTCAGGACAACTCATGAATAAAAACACATTGAAACGTAAATTAATTTTTATCTTTTCATGTATTTTTTTGTAACTAGAAATTTGTTTTCTTTATCAAATTCGTATCAAATCAACAGTAGTTCTACTCAAAAATATATTACAGATAATATTTAGTTTTATACTTACAGAGTCTTTGTACATAAACAAAACAAAAAAATATTCCCTTTCCCACCATCATCATTAACAAGGTTTGAAAACATTTTATCTATGAAAACACAAGAATCTGGAAGTTACCAGTATTATTGAATGGATATTAAACTGGAATCATAGTCATTATTTTTTTTATTAAAAAAGAAACAGTATTACGAGGAAAACGTGACTGTTTTGGGAAGGACCTTAAGTTTTGCATAATATAATTCTTAACATACACAATTTGTATTGCAGGAGTTACAACGTAACAAGTTAAGTGAATTATCTAAAAAAAATAAACAGTAACGAAATAAAACCAGAGGTAAATGCTATCTATGTATACGAAGAATAGACGTTTTCTTGTGAAAAAATCAGTACAAATACATAGAGTTGTAAAATAGCTATCTTTGTAGGAAACTTACTAAGCTGGCCCGCCAGTTAAAAGCGATTTGATTGGACGATCTCTGATAACAAACGTTACGACAGAGAATAGTAATAGTATTAGGATTATAAAGGAATCGTTAAAACAGTAACAAGGCTGTATTTGCATCCGTATGCGAGTTCATTAGTTTAAATTTGGTAGAAATGCAGACTAAGAATGTCGCCTAAAATTCATTCTTTAAAACATTGTAAAGTGATTACTTTTAACAAAAAATGTGATTCAATATAAAAAGTTGATACAAAATAGTATTTAAAAAAGGGAAGCAGCTATGAAATACACAATGATTAAAAAAATTTAAACGAAAATATTGATTGCATAAATATTACCAATGATAAATAAGCTTTTATGTTACATTTTCCACAGTCTCCGATAAAGTTCTATAAATGTTGATCGGTTGTGCCGAGGTTGCAAGGTCGGGAACAAAATATACATACATTGTCCAAGGCTGTTGTTAAAGAGTCCAAACGTGGAATATAACGTACATAAATATGTCTCTATAAAGAATAAATTGTAATCTATAATAAAGGCGGTAAGCCGGAATCCAACCAATCGACGCCGATCAAATCGCTCACTTCGGGTGTCGTGTAGTCGGGAAACTCGAAATGTGTACTTCCGCTGTCGCATGAATCAAGGGGGCTTAGCTCGTCGGAGAGGTCTCCAAGATTCGTTAGCATGCTTCCAAGATCGAGCGCAGGCCAGTCAGCAGCGAATGGATACTCCAATGAGGTAAAGTTCTGATTATTGTCCAAAGAAATATGTTGTTGTTGTTGTTGTTGCTGTTGAAGATGATGCATGGCTGTGTTACTTACAGTTGGTACAGTAGGAATTGGTTCGAGTTGCTGAATTCTATGCGTTGTCTGTTGATGATATATCGTAGGTTTTGCACATGTGTAGTCATCGTACATACTCGTGTTTTCCATCGGTGAATCCGGATTACTTCCACTGGGGCTAGGCACCTCAGCCGGTGGAGTGAGTTGATTAGGAGCGAGTTCCACGGCTTTGCTAGCACGAATACTATCTCTGAATTTTTTGTCAATGGTTAGTCTGAGCTTAGGTACTCTGTCCTTGCTCTGTTGCGACTGTACAGGTTTGTTGGCTTTAAGTTTCGGCTTAGTTACTCGTCCCTTAGAAACGACCTGTCCATTAGATTTTTCTGTATTGCTTTTAGCACTTGGTTTCGTTACCTTCTTTCGTGGTCTGTATTTGTATTCTGGGTAGTTGTGCATGTGTAGAAGCCTCAGTCGTTCGGCCTCCTCAATGAATGGTTGTTTCTCCTCCTCATCCAGCGTTTTCCACTTCTTGCCCAATCGCTTGGAGATTTCAGCGTTGTGCATGTCTGGAGCGTTCTCCATAATTTTTCGTCGCTGTATCTGCGACCAGACCATAAATGCATTCATAGGTCTTTTGATGTGTCCATTATTTGCCTTCCAGTTCGTTTGAACAATATCCTCAGATATTTTCAAGTTGGAATGAAAAATATCGACGTTTCCTCCTTCACTTTCTGGTGAAGATGGGCCGCTGGAGCTTGAGCCACTCGGCGATAGAAGAGAAGATTGTGGAACCATTTTGTTATCGCACCTTTGGAATGTTTCGTACCTTGCTGGAAAACAGCACAGTTAAAAAAACACGAAGTCTCGTCTCAAAATATAAGTAAATTCCCAATGAGCAAAAGAATGACTAAGTTACAACCGAATTCTTATCTCAGAGCCTCTTGTCTCAGAGTCGATTCGTTTGTAAACTGGTGACTAAATTAACTCACACACGCGCTCCTCACGTTTATATTAACAATCTTGATGGGCGGAGCTAATGGCATCGACCAATCAAAAGCGTCTTATTGATTTAGCAACCAAGCGAACGAGTTTCAGCGTGTCGGCCAACTAGAAACCCCAAATGAATTCTCATAAAAACATACCGGAGATCTAGTATATCACAATTTTATTTAGATTTTGTTTAAACAAGATCTACACATTTATTTCTATACTTAGGTGCATTCGAGTTGGTCAAAACAGGTATAAATGTTTATACTGTTAACGTTTCCCTGATCAGCTATAAAATTTGAAAGTCTATTAAAATGTTACACTGAGGTCAACTCAGCAGGTGTACCACGAGAGGGCGCTATATACATTGCCTGAGTTTTCAAATTGTTTTTCCGAGTTGTTCACCGTGGTTCCAAATCCATTGATCAGCCCCCTCTGTCTACCAGGTGACTGCGTTTCAGAACAAACGGTCACCGTATGCTGGTTTTTTTTTTTTAGAATGGTTATATCGATGATTTATCAATTATATGTTATAACGTTCCCTCATCTGTGTATGTACAGTATACTAACATAATACACAAACAATTGTGCTTCTTGGAAATGTTAAGGCAAATAATGTGACTGAACATCTTGTCAATACCAATTTACCCAATATAAATGCAACGCTATATTTATGTGATATACGGGTGTATGAATAAGAATAAATCATTGTTATTCTAAAATATCTAATGTTAACGCTTTAATAGCATATAGTTATCCATTTGAAAATGTCCATTTTCATTGCAACGAACGACAGTTGACGCAGGTGTACGTGTGATGGAATATTATGGTAAATGTCATGCTTCGGTCGAGTAGAAGATTAAGTATACTAAGCTTGTGTTTTTCGGCATAAAATTTGTAATTGTTTACTATAAACAATATTTTATTCTTTCACAGATTACAATACAATTCCCACCGAAAAATAATAGGCCTATTTCTGAATGCCTATGAGTATTAAGCTGGTGTTAAATTTTTAATATATTTTATGACTATTTACAGAGGCCTAATTTTAATCACATTTTTTTTGTACGGGTTATGTCGCAATGATATAAAGTACAATGAGTTTTAGATTAGGGCAATACATGAGAGCTACGAAGACCATGTAGGTGTAATTTAATTTTATGTAAGATGGGAATAACCATTTTTAAAATAACCCAAAGGCAAGCACTTTATACAAATTGGCGTATTTATTATAGGCCCTAATAATAGCGCCGTGACAGTGGGTTACATCCATTGTACCATTAAGCCTATTAGATGAGCCTCGTGGTCACTGGTAGGTACGGCCATTTGGATCATGGGGATATAGCCTACCGGTACGCAATTTAACTGTGAATTTAGCTTTGAATTGCGTTAGTTATCAACGTTAAGCCCCATTTCAAACTAAATAAATCATAGGCACTATCAGTGATTTAGCGACCGTTTATTTCAGTAAACATCTTTAAATTAACCGACAGAAATAAAAGATCATAGGTCTATACAAGAACTATAGGAATCTTATTGGCAAATAGGCCTATTTTTAATAATCTATTGGTACCTAGTACTTTACACCATTCGCTTGCAATAACTTGTAGGCCCTACAGGCTTATACCATAATACTCCGTTTACTTGCCTATAGCGCCTCGTTGATGAAGCGTTATGATTTGTAGGAGTGGATATAATATATCATTTCCGTTGCAGTTAGGCAGTAGAATCATTGACTTATTAAATAATAATCAATACTTAACTTAATGTACGGTACTTGTGCAGTGGTATAGTTTTGTTTTTTTGGGGGGTTTTGTCGATACCTAAGCATGACATTTAATGAGGTGTACAGTCACCAGCAAGAAACAGAACACGGTGCCGCAAGCTACCTGCCTTAGAGGGTGTCGAAATATCGTTACTAACCCAGACTTTTTCGTAAATCTACCACGGAAATGTCATGACAGCGACATTTTGTAACCAGGCGTCTAGGGTTCATAAACTACCACATTGAAAGAATCCATTTTAAACTCGTGTTCGAAATGACAGTCATGTACTTGTACGGTCTTAATCTTGATGGTGGTGGTGGTGGTGGTGGTGGTGGCTGTCTCTTATACACATCTAGATGTGTATAAGAGACAGACCATTGGTGGTGGTGGTGATTATGATGATGATGATGATTATGATTATGATGATGATGATAATTATAATGATAATGATGATGATGATGATGATGATGATGATGATGATGATGATGATGATGATGATGATGATGGTGGTGGTGGTGGTGGTTGTAATGGGGATGATGATGATGATGATGATGGTGGTGGTGGTGGTGGTGACGATAGTGATGGTGATATTTAGGATTCGAACCAACGTGCTTATACTCCACAGTAGGAAACGATCGAGAATACAATACATTTCCCAAGGACACAAAACAGCTAATCAGAGCGAGAATCAAACCGTGACCCTAGTGTTGAATGATCGAGGCACTTGCAATTTATTATTTCAGTGAACATCTCTTATTAGGCCTCAGAGAGATGCATATCTGCATTAACACACACAGGCCAATTTGCATCGAACACACTCGTAGACTCACGGATAATCTCCCCAATGGGAGAGAAATTTACCCGGGGATGTCTCCAACCAGACGTTTTCAAATGAGTCTCAATTAGGGAATTGAATTGGTACGTAGTTTATCGTCTGTATTGTGCATTCCTGACCTATGGGACATGATGGTTGATATATAAAGATTACTCTAACATGATTTCTGCGAGATACGATTTAAATTCCCTCCAGGAACGAGAGTCACGCGTCATTAAAGACTGGTAATGGAGACGGGAGTGTGCCGGCTATCGTCTGCAACACCTGTTGGTATCGACGTCACATAGGACATCAGGTTCGCCTATTTACCCCACAGGTGTACTTTCGTCTGCTCTTCACTTTCGCTTCACAACGCCTAAAAATAGCACAGGACCCTAGCGACCTCCACGGGTATTGAGTAGTTATTGAACACTTCCTTTTTTGCGCAGGCGCGTATTTGAAGGAACCCGGGGAATCAACCCTTCCTGATAAATATTAACACGGTTTTTGATCGGCCTCGATTGGTGCTAAAACGCCATTTCCACATCCGATATATCTAGTTATCTGATAAACAAACTCAATACGCAGATTACTATTGCCAATGATTTTTCGTCGACTTAAAGTTTGCCGGTGGAAGCAGTAAGTTAAAGTTTTAAACTTAAGTGGGGAAGAGGGATTGCGGTAGATTATGGATGGAAATTCGCTTTAATGTATGAAGGTTTTTTGTTGGGGTGGTGTGTCGGTGAGATGATTTAGAAAGTTCACTCTCAACAACCAGCCGTCGAATGTTTTTTTTCGTTCTCACAGGACTAAATAATTCAATCATCTCCAACCCCCCCCCCGACCCCACAACTTCCCGGCAAATGACTGAAAACAAATCTACTGAAGCAACATCGATCTCTACACATTATTTTAATAATAATTACACCAAAAAAATAAACGCCTCCCCCGAATAAATCGCTACTCAAACAATAAACGCCCTGGGCGTTTATTCGAATAAATACGATATTTGTGCTTTGAACCTGACTTGACAAAACTTTAATTATAATCTCATGGTTTGTTATACTGTTTTATTTGAGGGAGGAGACATGTAATTATAGAACAGAAAATGGGACGATTAGTCTGTCATGTCTCATATCCAATTAACATATCCATTTATCGTATTCAAAAATGACATCATGCGTATTAATTCAGATCCTTATGGAATTACACCTGATTTGACATACCCTTGATAACTTGGACGAAAATAGGCTACGCCATCTTTATGACTGGGTAACGCCAACTGACAGTATTAAACGCATTTATTATTATGCTTATTATAGTGAAGTTCTGAGGACCCTATAAAAATACAGCTTCGAGGATTTTGCACAAGAGACGCAAAACAATAGGAGGCACTATATCGAATTATTGCCTCCTCGGGGATAGGAAAACAAAAAAAAAACAAATAAACAAACAACTGAGTACCGTTAGTTTATTACTGGAATTTAAACAGTCGCTTAAGTCAGCTTTTCATTATTCTGTAGGTCAGATAATTCACTGCGATTAAATAATAATCTAATTGTCCTATGTCCCATCCCAAAACATAATTATCTCCTAAATGAAATTGTTTTAATTGGTTTGACTTATATAGTTTACTTGCCTTTATAAGATTTTATTTTGTTAATTTGGTACCGTAAATGTTTATAGGCCTAAATTGTTCACTCTGTTCTGTAAACTTATTTTGCATAAGGATGTATGCCACTGATTTTAAAGCGATTCAACGGGGAAAAAAATTAATTAAAAAAAAATATCTGAATGTGATGTCGTAAATTGTAGGATATTTGTAATTTATATATAATCGGTCGTTTGTGTTTATCATATTTGACAATGAAAATGTTACTATAATAGGCCTACATGTATTTTACAAGAGTGTTCAATTCAATTCATCATGAAAGCAAGACAATTGCCATTGATAGGCCTACCATCAACCTTTGCAGGAAAAAAAATTGTTTGTTACCTTGAACAAAAGCAACAAAACCGACGCATCGTGTATGATAACCATATATGGCATTGTCAGAGGATTTTTAAACACAATGAACTTACGGGCGTTCCCCAAATCCCGTTTTCATCTTAGACGCTATTGTGATGAAATTATGAATTATGAATGTTTATGTTCAAATCTTAATTCACCTGCTTATAGGCCTGCCTACATGTATTTCAGCTGTTCCCGTGGTAATCGTTTTACTGATTAAACAACAAAAAATAGGCAGACCTACAAACCCAGAAAATTAAACATTGCAATTATTATTATTATATTTAACCAGTTTGAAAATTAATATTTGGACATTTCATAGGCACAATTGATATCTATTTGATGCTGTTGTCTTAATATCATTAACATTTTGTAAATTGTAGTAATTATTTATGTTTACATAATAATTTAT